TGAAGAACAAAAGGACAGCAACTTGTCTGTTGCCCTTCCCCCAATTCCCCAGCATTGTTCCCATCCCCCAATTCCCGGATTAAAAGAAAAAAATCTTTTAAAAAAAAGAAACAAAAAACTTGGGTTCAATAACTTTATGTAATACTTTTTTTCAAATTTCAGGCCCCAAAATTAAGGTGCATCTTATACATGGGAGCGTCTTACACATGGGGAAATATGGCAAGTAGGTCATGTGTTCTTGAAAAAAATGAGGAATCTACAGTCACATAAGCTTCTGCATGCTATAGTTATCTCTGGAGCCACACAGTGTAAATCAGTATATTAAAGGCTCTTGGAAATCCTGCAATGGGAAAAAAAATCAATATTCTTTGACCCCATGTTTCTAAGTTTTGTTTCCATGAAGCCCTTTTCAAACACCATCTCAACATACTTTAACAATTTTAGGTGCACTGGAGAAAGATGTCATTTGTGTCGTAGACAAAATAATATTTTCTTCTTCCCCTGCTATAAAGCATGCATGTGGGATATTCCTAGTAGAATATTGCATAATAAATTCCGTGTAGCTTTAAGCTATTTGTACGTAAAAAAAAAAAATCTGGTTTTCCACTAAGTCATGAAAAATGAGGGGAACTCTGTGCAAATACTTTTAATATCATTCTAACTAGCTATAGGCTGTTGAAATTTAATAGTGTTACTGGAGAACACATAAGAAATGAATCCAATAAGCTGGTTCTTCCAGATATGGGAGTGTTCAAGAAAAGATTTTACTTTTAAATCTTACTCACTACCGTGTTTGGAATTAGGCAATTCCTGTAAATTGAAGTAATGCACTTTTTTTTCCATTTATGGGAACCCGTTGTTTTAAAAATTCATATGTAATTCTGTAGTTACAAAGTCATGATGAGGGAAGCACATTTTTGACTTGTTGTCTACCTCCACCCCATGCATCCTTGCACCTGCATTGGGGTGCTGGTGATCTGCACAGTTTATTCTGCTGTGTAAGTGGATGTTCTTGTTTCTCAAAGTCATTATGTGGCTGAAGCATGCCACAAACAGAGGTGGCCATGGTCACCTCCCAGTTTTTCTAGTTTGAAGTCACTGGCGGTGAGCACCTGTTTGAAATCCATCCTCTGTTCTCTGACACCTTTCTTGCCTTTATCACCGCCTCTTCGTCTTTCCCTGGCTCCTCCTTGTAGATCTACTCCTTCAATAATGGGGTTCTTCTGATTTCTGCCCTTAGCCCTCTTTTCAACTCACTCACTACATCTGCCCAGGGGACTTAGTCTGCTGTCTGGCCCACCTAGATCTGTCTCCACCCCACATTGCTCCTGAGCTTTGGTACCATACTCTACTCACCACCAGGTGCTGTGTAGTTGCCTCAAAACGAACATTTCCCAAACAAAACTCTTCATTTTTCTGCCCAAACTTGATTTCATATCCCCTGTTTCCAGTCATTGCTTCACCAACTTGTTAGCCTCCTGAGTAAAACAATGGGGCATTGTCTCTGGCCCTTCCACTTCTCTCACCCCTAGGCTCCAACTCATGCCCATATTCTGTGCAATCTCAGAAATATGAGACTCGAGACCTTTTCTGTGTCATGCACTGTCTTAGTCTAGATGCTGAGGACCATTTACCTGGACCATTTGGAGCATAGTGGTGAAGAGTATGGTCTCCAGCACCCAGGTGGCTGGGGATGGGTTTCTGACTCAACCACTTCTTGAGCAGTGACCAAACCAAGTTATTTAACATCTCTGTGCCTCCATTTCCTTACCTATTAAAAAAGATGAACCATTATAATACCTACCAAATGGAGATGTTGTGAGGATTACTTTGATAACTGTATACAAAATGCCTGGGACATAGTAAGTGCACAATAAGTATTAGTTGCTAGTATCATATCTTTTTAGCTGCTTTCGCTGGTACTAGTCTCTTTCCACTCCCATTAGAATCATCTTCCTAAGAAGTAAATCTTCTCCTGTCATTCCTTAGTGTCTACTGGCTTTCTGCCGTTTAAAGAATAAAGTTCAGCTTTCTTAGCAGGGCATTTAAGACCCTTCAAAAATTGGTTCCCAAACTACCTTTCTAGCTTTTCTGGCTCTAAATACTCAGTCTACACCCGAAGCCATGCTAAACTCGTTGTTCCTCAAACACTCCGTACCCATTCATAATTCTGCACCTTTGCATGTACTGTCTCTTCCTTAGTCAGTTTTCCTGAGTTGCTGCTGTAACAACCATCCCCAGTTCTCAGTGGTTTTCAACAACACAGGTTTATTTCTTGCTTACATTCCATGTATTCTACAGGTTAGCTTCAGCTCTACTTCAAGAGTCTTCCTGATTCTGAGACTCACACTGAATAAGCAGCCCCTTTCTGAAAATGGTTTTCTCAGGTGGCAAAGGGAAAAGAGTAATGTTGGACTATCATGATGGATCTTAAAGGTTTTATTCAGAAGTGGCACAAAACACTCACATTTTCTTAGCCAAAGCAAGTCACATGACCAAGCCTGACCTTAACTGGGTCAGGGAAATATCAGCCTCTCACAGGGAGATGGAGCAAATAATTAAAAAACAATGATATCGTTTCCACGGTTCCCTATATTTGAAATGCCACCGTATGTCCCTCCTTTTCCCCATTCTTCTAAACATTCAAAGCTATCTTATCACCACCTTTGTGAAGTTCTTTTGTTGCCACCAGGCAACTAGCTCGCTTTTCTGCATTCTCTCAGGACTCTGGCCCCATTTCTAATAACGTGCTTATCACACTGTACTAAGAGTATCTGTTTACATCCTCCTTTCTCTTGTGGGCAAGGACTACAATTTCTTGACTTCTCTATCACCAGTTCCAAACATCCTAGGACTCAGAACACGTCAACAAAATAAATGCGTGAGGCAGCCGGTTGCTTCGCCATTTGTCAGGCAAAACGGGGAAAGCTGTTCTGCCTACATGCAGTGGTAGGGAGTCAGTAATGCCTTCATTCTGGAAGAAAGGAGACTTAGGGACCAGTGAGAAAGCCAGCCACCAAATACAGAGATCATTTTCTTATTTTGCCTTCTGTTCATTGCTATGTATCGAGAACAAATGCCTTGAAAAAGTACCATTGATGCATACAATCATATAGCCTTGGGCATTTATATACACATAATATTCAAATGAAAACAGATTATACCCATATAGTATATAGTTGTCAAAAGTTTGTCTCAAATCAGATTATCTATTGAAAAGACAATACCAGCAAAATCATCTTGATGAACCATTAGTAAGTTTCACCTTTGGTAGCCTTTTAAGAAGATGCTAAATCAAATTGCTGAGGTGTTCAGTTTTACCCTCTAAGTAATGAAAATTCACCCCCTGCCATCTCCTCCCCAGCACTGTCTTAATTCAGGATCTCATCACACTTCTAATCTGCATTTTTTGTAGTTTTTTAAAATTAAATTTATTGGGGTGACTATGGTAGTAAAATTACATAGGTTTCAAGTGTGCATTTCTATAATACATCACCTATATATCATATTGTGTGCTCACCACTCAGAGTCAGTTCTCCTTCCATCACCATATATTTGAGCTCTTACCCCTCTTCTACCATCTCCCTTCTCTCCTTACCCTCTGGTAACCACTAAACTGTGGTTTAAAAACACACACACACACACAAACAAATAAAACCCCTCATAGACACAGATAACAGTTTAGTGGCTACTAATCTGTATTCCACTGCACATCTCTACTTGGTCTCTCTCTGTCCAGCATGCCCTCCTGCACCCCGTCAGCCCCCCTCCAATTAGGAAAATCTTTCCCCAGGCATCGCCTTCCATCTTGAACTCACTCTGAGGCCCCCTCTTCACTGTCTCCCAGCAGAGTTAAATCCTGTCCTTCTATAACTTTCTATCATTGTATTTTATTACACTGCATTGTAATTACTTGTTTATGTGTCTGTTTCCTCTTCACAGAATAAGAGTCCTTTTGAAAGCAGGTGCTGGTGTATCTAATTCCTTTATATGCTCAGAGAAGGGCACCTTTGCACAGACTTAAGATGCTCAATCAACATTTGTTACCTTGAGTTGCTGTTGAATTGAAGGCAAAAACAGGACACACATTCTGTGGTAAGTAATATGAAACAACTGAAAATGATTTTTTGATCTTGCATTTTAATGTGACCTAATATTTCCATGATTTATGGAGAATGTAGTGTTTCTAGTATTAACCAACATATTTTGAATTAATTAATGTGAATTTTAACTTTCATACATAAGTTCCGTGCAAAACTTTTTGGAAATGAACCGATTCTCATGAGAACTTATTAGCACACAAAGAAAAGCATTTAAAAGAAATATTCCTTGTAGGATATCCTATGGCTAAAGAAAATTTAGAAGATACCATAAGTCTCTTTATTATTTTTGCCACGGAAAACAAAAGTGAAAGTTTCACTAAGATATAAAAGCTAGAGAAATAAAGAGAATTTAAGTTATGCATGCCTCAGAAAAACAGAACAACATGTTCATTTGGCCAGATCTAAAAGAAAAGAAGCTAAATGCAAATTACATCTATTTAATGAGTTCAAGAAAAGAAACTTTCAGTTTTGGTATTTCTAACTCATGTTATATAAGAGATCCTGAGTGTCAGAGGAAGAGAAAGAGGGTGAAAGAGGTTGTAATTAAAGTGCAACTTCCCAGAACCCTGGATCGCACCAGGACTGTGGCCAGAATAAGCAAGGCTACTGGCTTCTGCCAGGGTCACGTTGGGAGGTCAGTTTATCATCGCCCTTGCTTAAAAAACATAATTTGAGCATTGAAGGACTCCCACCATTCAGTGACCTCCATGTGCTTCCCATTAGGGTCAGAAGACGAAATGCTGTGGTGGCTTTTGCAAATGGAATGGAATGGGCATTTTCAGATCTCTCTCTAACTTGGCAAAAAGCCTGTGTGCCAGCCTGGATATCAGAAAGGCTCAGGTATTTCCAAAGTACAGGGACACACAGTCACAGACAGTCACCTATGAACTATTGTCCCATATTTCCCATATAGAAGATGCATCCTTTTTCGAAAAATTTGGGGTCTAAAAACTAGGTGCGTCTATACAGTGGTTGTAGAATTTTTTACTTACATTTCTTGCTTTTTTTGCACTTGTTTTTGCGCTCATACAACCACTGTATAAGAGGCACCCGGTTTTTAGACCCCAAATTTTTCGAAAAAGGGTGCGTCTTCTACATGGGGAAGTACGACAGTTACTTAGTCACTCATTTTCTATGGAGGAAAGCATCTAGCTCAGCTCAGTGGCTATCTACCTTATTCTAAATAACATCACAATCTTCAAAGTATCAGTTAATAGCAAAATATTATTAGTGAGTTCCTTGCTAGTTGCGCTGTTATAGGTTTGGAAGCCACCAGAAACGGCCTGTCAGATCTTCACTTATTCACCCACTCCCTACTGAGAGAGCCTGCCTGAACATGTAAGTCAATCAATTCCCTTACGTACTTTCCATCAGCAATCAGGATAGTATGAAGACTAAGCCAAGTGTGGCATCCCGGTTAATTGCTTATCCAATATCCACATCCCTCTTTTTCTCACTAAATCATTGTCTAAGTAAATGTTCATTTTTCCTAGCCAATGAAACATAGTAGATGTTTACCTGGGGATTCTGATAAAGCCTTTAACTTCCTGTTTAAAGGAGACAGAGGTACCACTCTCTCCCTGCTTTCATAGCAAAGGTGAGCTAGAGCAAACATCTTAGAATGTGAGGGACTAAGGATAGCAGAGCAGAAAGATAGAATCCTTCATGGCATTATGAGTTTCAGACGATCCCGGCAACCATCTAACTCTGCATTTATGTAACGTGTGAAATATAATCCCCTATTTGTTGAAGCCACTATTGTTTGGGTTTTCTGTTACTTGCAGCCAAACACATTCCTGATACACCAAGTTTATTAATAGAAGCTGAATCAGGGAGGCTCAGTCTCAGGCTACTGGTAGTAGAGAAATTATAGTTTCAAAGAGGTAGAAGCTATTAATAGTTAGGTTTTCCTCCCCCTTTCCAAATGTCCCCTCATAGCCACCTCTTACCCTCCACCGCCACCTTCTCATGCAATTTTGGGCCATTCTTAGAAGATGAATTAAAGTTTCCATTTTAAAACATCATTCCTGATACATGACATAGCAACATTATGACTTCCTTCTTTTGAATCATGAAGTTTCTCCCAGCACTAACAATCATTAGCATTTGTCCTACTCATGTTAGATTTTCATCAAAGTTTGTAATGTAAGAGACCTGGTCAGTTGAAAATAAAAGAAGTCTCACAATTATTTATAATCTTTCAATAAAAGAACATGCAACTCTATCACGCCAAATTTTACATAATCTGGTATCCATTATGAAAACCCTATCTTAAAATTCTAGCTGTGAAACCATATTCACCTTTTACTACTCAGATATTGGCTTTCATGTGGATTCCGTGTCTTTTGCAAACTGTAGTTTGATATGATACTCACTGCAGTCATTTTCCAAGTATTAGCATGTAGGTTTCTATAGGCATAGATCATGTTTCTGTACTTTTGTTTTTTTGGTTTTTTTGAAAAGAACTCTCCAAACTGGTAACATCTGGTTGATGAACGGGGCTGTAAATGTTTGCACCTGGAGTATAGCCAGACCTGAGGCCCATGCAAACATACAATTACACTAGAGCTATCACATCAAAGCCATCGTCTGTCCCAGCTCCAATTTTAGGTTTGGCACTTTGTTGCATCTCATTCTGCTCTAAAACTCTCAGATAGTATTCAAAAGAATAGGTGCAAAAAGGCAGCGTGCTTTTTTCCCTTTAACTCCACCATTTGGAGACACGCCCACCAAAGAATTCAGGAATGAAGCAAAGTGATCACCTAAACATTCTGATTAATGACATAGTCGTCATTCATGCAGACATTTATCATGTGCCAAGAGCTGTGCTGAACTCTGTACATACATCATCTCCCTGAGCCTTCCCAAGTGCGTGAGTAGATATTAGTCTGCTGATATTAAGTCCCTCATGCGTCCAGCCAGGGAGTACTACAAGCAACTACTGGGCTAGACTCTGGGACTGCAATCATGAAAAAAGTGGACCTGATGCTCCCCACCCAACCCTGGCCTCACCCTCAACATATACACAGATAACTCGTACTGCCGAAAGGGCAGAAAGAGACATCATAGTGCAGTGAGTGTAAAGAAAGAGGGAAACTAGAGCATATCACAGGCACTCTAACTTAGAGGGGAACGTGAGGAAAAATCGTACTGAGAAATGATGCTTAGGCCTAGACATTCATGGTTATGCTTGTAAAGGGGGAGGCAGCATATTGATGCTGGGGGTGAAAGTCATTCCAGGCAGAAGAGACAAGATGCTACTGAATGTCACAGGGGCAAGAAAGTGCCAAATAGCACTTCTGAGCGACGGGGGTTAAAAAGGCCACTGCTGCTGGGACTGAGAGAACTGGGGATAGAATAAGAAGCCAGAAGGATGAAAAGATAGGAAGGGACCAGATCTTGTAGGCCATGCTTGGGGCTTTATCCTAAGGCGATGGAAAGTCATCCAAAGTGGTAGCTGTTGTCATTGGTGTGTGTGTGTGTGTGTGTGTGTGTGTGTGTGTG